GAAGCCATCCTTGATTCCCTCCTTTTCCTCACTTGTTAGTTTACTCCTTCTAAAGTAGATAATCTATCTCCTCATAACTGGTGCCCTGAACCCTTCTTGCCTACTGAATTCATTGTACCAGCCTCCTAATTGATCTCTAAACTGTTGTCTTCCACATTACTGCCAGAGTGATTGATCAGAAGAGTAACATTGACTATATCATTTCCTCATTTAAAAAGAATCCTCAGTAGCTATTGCTTATAACATAGAGTCCAAGCTCCTTAGCAAGGTTTCTGATGCCTGCTGTCTATGAATTTTTGCCCTAGAAATTGCTGCTGCGTGTCCCTTTACTCATAGTATTTGTCTGACTGGGATGCCCTTATCTGACACATTCTTCAAGATTCAGCTCAGTTGTTATTTCCTGAAAGTTTTCCTAAACCTCTAGATGGGCCTTAGAGTCCTATGACCCCATCATACCCTTTCTCACTGTAGTTTTGTCATCTGATTTTGAAATGATCTGAATCAGTTTTTTTTTTTCTCTATCCCAAAGCCTTTAAGCTGCTAGAAATCTTTCATTTCCAGTATTCAGTATAATGCCAGGTCCATAGTAGGCATTCAGTAAATGGTCTCTGAAATAAACTACACAGTGATTGACAGTCTGGTGGATGCACATGGAGAGTTCCAGAGCACCAGAGTTGAATTTGCTGCCATTATTTAGTTTGCTTCCTAAATTCTTGTAGCAGTGTGAAATAAGAATGAGTAAAACAAAAGTGGATGGTAACCCCCCTTCCAAGTAAGTGCCTATAAAACATCATTGCCAGCATTGGTTGCCAAGGATCAGAACCTTAAACAACAGTTCTTGGTTGTGGTTTTAGCTCAGTGGAAAAGTGTTGGCCTATTATGTATAGGGCACCGAGTTTGATCTTCAGCACCACATAAAAATAAGATATTGTGTCCATCCACAACTAAACTCTTTGTGAAAGAGAGTTTGTTATTTTTATCGTTTGTTTTTTTGGTTTATACTCTTAATAGTAAATACCATTGTTTCACAGGGCAGGGATCTACTAAGGTACCATAATGTCCAATATAATGGCCATTTGTAGTTCTTTTAATTTATACTGTTTAAAAGGAAGTAAAATTTAAAATTCAGTTTCTCAACCAGTAGCCACCTTTTAAGTGCTTAATGGCCACATGTGAAAAGTAGCTACTATATTGGATGGGTCAGATACCAAACAAATATATATCATCACAGACATTTTTCTTAATTAGTGATGGTTTGTAGTAAGGGATATTGGAGGCTAATATTGAAACATGGAGGCACAACTAAATTTTCAAAGTAATTAATTTCTGATATCAGGCCAGTGTCATGGATAGTTTTTTTTTTTTTTTGTACTGGGGATTGAACTAGGGGGCACTTGACCACTGAGCCACATCCCCACCCCTGTTTGATATTTTATTACAGACAGGGTCTCACTGAGTGTCTTGCGCCCTGCTTTTTTGCTAAGGCTCGCTTTGAACTTGTGATCCTCTTGCCTTAGCCTCCCAAACCTCTGGAATTATAGGCATGCACCACCGCGCCCGGCCATGGATAGGCTTTTAAAATCAATAGTGGGGAAAATTTTTTTGGTGGTG